ATTCCTTTCCGTATAAATATTCCGATTCAATCCACTGCTGGATGAGGGCCTCCCACACTGGCATTTCAAGGCGGGCATCTGTTCACACTTCACCACATTGGTCAGTTCGGGTTGAACAGGGAGCATTAGTACAATATACAATGCATTTTGATCCACGGACGTCTGCTGCCCATAACATAGCTCCCCCCCAACCCCCACCCTCCTGCCAACCTATAGTACCTGTTATGCACAATGGTCACCCATCCAACGCAGCTTAGCTCGGGAAATCCGATAGGATCAAAACCGCATTCCAGGCACTTTCGTCAAAGTGCAACCGATTCTTTACAAATAGTGGCCCGTGCTACTACTACGACTACAGAAGCAGTTCGTACAGCTATTATTATTTTACACACACGCTTTACATTAAACACAATCATTCTGCATCATCACACGCGGTACCCATCGCGCCGAGCTCAGCACGGGGGACGGCGTGCAGGGGACAGCAGCAGACGGTCATAAAGCTCCGGGATGCGTACGGAAATCGCACCTCCGGGGGGAGAAAGGAAAACGAGGCAATATTGGTCCCGACAAACACACTGACGGGAGCGTCAGAGGTTCCACTGCCCAAGCGCGGCAGCGGGGCACGCAACCTGGCGCCTCGACCGACAACGCCGGCGTGTCGGCGATGCGAGCATTTTAATAATTCCCTGCGCTTTGGAGAAAGCTGTACGATGCCACACAGTGCCGGATTATCCTAGGAGTAAAAGTAGCTACATATGCTTACGGGCCCCGCACTTTTCAAGGGCCCCGTGCTAAATGCTTTTAAGCCATCAATTCCGGTTCAGTGATTCTGCACTTGCTCTATCACTATAGTACTATACTGCCTTCAACTTTTATGAACGACTGGGTGTTTAAGGTTATCGATTTGTCGTATTATCTGGCTGTATAGCTATGAAAAATACAATACTTTACTATGCAAGTTACAAAATTTGTGTTTTAATATTTGTATCTTTTTATTTAGGGCCCCTTTATAACATTTGCTACAGGCCCCGCACTAGCTTGGTCCGGCACCGATGCCACAGCAAATGGAGAGCACCGCTTCATTACGTGCGCGGCTCCACACACCCGGCTCAACCTTCCTGCAAGAGTTTCATCTGCAGAATGTGTTGCATGCTTTCATCGATACATCTCTTAAGCGCCGTACGTAGCGGACCGTGCTAATTGTACGTGCAGGGAAAAATGGGGCAACAAACTGAACGCACAAAGCAGTTCTAAAGAAATTAGTTTTCAAGCTCGATTTGAAAGCGCATAGCTCCAGTGGCTTCTGCATATCGGAAGGAAGAGCCGTTCCAGACGGCCGCAAAACGGCATCTGAAAGCACGCGATGCAATGGCCGTCTTTGTTCGACGGTTAGCCAAAAGCCACTGCTGCAAGAAACGCCGAGTTCGCGTGACGGTTGGTTCATGAAAAGGCGAAGGTGCAGCCCCGCAATTCCCATGCTCACGCCACCGCTGGCAGGAGGGCCTTTTTCACTAGCGAGCCCTAGCGAACCTCTCTCAATGGGTATTTGGGAACACTTCAACATTTTGGACAAGGTAGGAGTGGACCCACACTCCACCCCGTGACATGCCAATGGACTTCCCATCGTGCAATCCACGTATATACCTCGCTAGGTGGACATAGGCAGGCGAGCCGGAAGGGAGGGTTGTAAGGAACTCACTCATTATTTCAACGCTGGCAAGATATTAACTACCTCGTCCAATGTACAGGAGGTCGTGGGCTAGATCCTGATGCCTGTATATTTGGAGTTTGCATAGTTCTCACTCCTGGTGGTGACGTAGATTTTTCTCCGGGTACTCCGGTTTTTCCCTCCACACTTTTACAAACGTACGTTTAGAGTATTTGGCTGCAATAAATGTCCACATGTTAAGCCACTTCGTTGAGCTATCGTTTGTGGCCAGGGCGCTTATGAAAAAGAGCTCAGTGGGGGCCTTACCTGATAAAATAAGAGTTTAGTTTATTTTAACCGAGCCGGCGACCTCTGGATTACAAATCCAGTGGTGCCAACCCCGTTGCACCACGGCAGCGTCCCATCAAACAATATTAACGACGCAACGATAATATTCGTCTCGCAAAAACACAGCGGCGTGGGGCGACGTAGTTTCGCGGCTCCGCTTGAGCCCTCTTGGCACCGGCACGGCCGTCGCTGCGTGTGGAAGCAGACGCAGCATAAAGCGTGTTCTCGTGGGTGGACCCTTCCACCCCCCCAGCCCCCACTCGGACCTTTTAAAATCTTCCGCGCAGCCTTATCACAACTCCTGTTGTGTCTCGATCCAAGAGGGCGGCGCGCGCACGTGCGCATTTTTCAGGAGCGACAACCCGACGTTGAATTTTGCCAAGTGGAAACGTTAGGACGCAATGAAACCGATAATGGGGGGGGGGGGGGGGGGGGGGGTACACGCAATCTGGATGAAATGCAAAGCCAAAAAGACAGTGCCCTGCTGCGCTGGAGCCAACACCAATATTTGCCTTCATAAGTCTGAGAGCGGGAGACAAGGAAAAACGAGAAAAATCTGGAACAAGTTCAACACGAATCCCCGAGGAGCGTCCAGAATGATGCTGCTGCTGCACTGTATAAATCAGCGGGACAAACCTCTTCTCATCTGCACACCTGAATCTACTCGGGCTTGCCACCTTTTCTCACAGATCAAGCCCAGACAGAGTTTTCAGGTCAGCCTAGGTCGGCAACCTGCAGCTTCCCGGAGCCGCATGCGTCTCTTTGTGGACTGGCTCGTGACGTTATTCATTAAGGACGACCGTCTCGTAGTCACGTGCAACGCGGCTCTTGAATGGCTCTGTTATTTTGGTTGCCAATCCCTGGCCTTGGTCTTTCAAAAATATGCAGTCCACTGTATTTAGTTCAACACGAGCCACCAAAACTCGAGACAAAGAAATGCCCGTCACCTGGACAGACACCACTGCCTGGATTGTCCGAGTCAAACCCCCAGATTCCCGCAAACTCCTTTGGAAGTGACCCACAAAGGTCAGACCACTTGGTTGCCCACAGATTAGGGGGTAGTGGAACCCGTTCGCGGGTGGACCAGTCGATGGGTCTGGGTGGTGCAGAATGCATCGCAAGCGACTACATAGGATGCACCCACTCAGAAAAAGCCGCATTTTTGTCCGCTTACAAACAATGTTTCTTCTTAACTATTCTCACGAAGAAATGTTTGACTTCAGCAAGTGGGACTTTGTTCAAAAAAAAGTTGTACAAAATAATTGCCTCTGGATATAATAAGAATAATAAACCTTATAGAACTGCGTTAGCAGTAGTGTACAATACCAATCCAAGCACACATTTTTATTTAAAATCCCGCAATTACCATCATCATCATAAATACGGGCCAAAGAAAATTGCCCTTTCTTCAAAAAGAACAATGGGAACTTTAAAATTAGCTCATGTGGTGCTGTAGTTGATGACCACACTGCCACCTGCTGGCATCGAGGCCACACAGGTTCCAAAATGTTTTCGATGCAGAAGAGTTTTGCGCAAGCAAAATGAGAATTCGTGGCTTTGAAGCAGCACCTGGCAGCAACCGTGAATTCAACAAAGGGGGAGGGGGGGGGAGGTTGGTTTGGCAGAGACGATGAGAGCAGCCGCCGATAATTACAGGGAACCCGTGGCCAACGTGCACTTGACCACTCATTCGGGAGCACCTCACTTGGAGCCGACCCCCCCCCCCCCCCTCCATATTCATACCAGTCTCATTTTTACTACCCTCATGATTACAGAAATCGCAGGCACTCCCCCTCTGTGACAGTGCAATTAGGCACCACAGGGAGAAATTTATCCCAAAACTCGGTGCAAGATATGTTTTTAGCCAGTTGTACTGGTTGTTGTCTGGCATGGCGATTGACATTTCATTTGCCTGGATCTTTCTCCAGTAGAGCGGCTCAAATTTTCATTTGATCACATGGCACGGACGGCTCCATCCAGTCCTTGAAGACTAAACTAAACTATTTTTCATTCTATCAGGCAAGGACCACCGAGCTATATAGCTCTTTTTTCTTAGAAGCTACCTGGCCACAAATAATAACCCAAGTGGCTTATCACGTGGAAAATTCAGCCAAATACTCTTAAACGCACGTTTCTAAATGAGGGAAAAACCGGAGGACCCACAGAAAAATCCACGGGACCACGGGGAGAGAGACACGCAAACTCGGAATATACAGCAGACGTTTAGGTGGGGATGGAACACACGACCTCCTGTACACCAGGCGAGGTAGTTAACATCGCCACCGTCGCACTCGGAACATGTGGTGAGAACCAGGCGACAGTCTACATTATAGACTGCCAGTACACTCAAACGTAAGAACCAGGCTACAGTCTACATTATAGACTGCCAGTACACTCAAACGTAAGAACCAGGCTACAGTCTACATTAGTGGTTTTTGTTTTTTAATATTTTTATTTGTATTATTTTCTATTTTTTATTCACTTAATTTTTTTATCTGCGTGACTTTACCGAAAGAACCAAAGAATATGTGGCGAGCATCCATGAAAGTCGGCACAGCACACAAGGAGCGGGGTAACCAGCACCAATACCCGGCCGCCTTCGTCTTTACTCCCCGCACTGGGTACGCATTTAAGGCAGAGTCAACCTAGAGGAGGCCAAGGACTGGATCGCATAGTCACCACCGATGTTGGGCATGAGCAGGAATCAAACTTCCGCATTTAAGGCAGAGTCAACCTAGAGGCACTACAGCCGCCATTGGCCATTAAGTGGCGGCAAACATCACCACAGTGCTTGATCCAAGTTCGGTGCACTTCGAGGCCACGTGAAGTGTGGAAAACTCGCTACTTGCAGGAAGTTACGGGCAGACCCAGGCACCATGGGTTGACTGTCCGAGAAGACTGGCAAGATCACCAGCTGTGCCCAGCTTTCTACATTTTACCCGCTCGGCGCAACGCGCGCACACACACACACACGGTGCCCACCCACGCCCGTGTCCGTGCATACCTTGGCGGCGAGGTGCTGCAGCACGATGGCGAGGGCGGCGAGGGCGGTGACCCTCTCGGCGTCGAGCCGCTGTGCGCACCGCAGGCGCCGCGCCAGCTCGTCGCGCGTGGCACGCAGCTCCCCCAGTAGCTCGTCGGGACCCCGTGACAGCAGCAGGTCGGGCTGGCTCAGGCAGCCCGACAGGGCCGGCCGGCCCGCACCTGCAACCACACAGCCAAGACGTTTTTAAATTTCGATTTAAAGCTTTCGTGACTGCAGGGATTCATCTTCTTGGTTCTTTCGGTAAAGTCACGTAGAAGGGAAATAATAAAATAGACCTGGTCTTCACCTGAGGACGGCTGCTTGCGTTGTGGCCGAAAGGTCGTGAGAATTTTATTAGGTTTTATTTTTATTATTTTATTACTTCCCTTCTACGTGACTTTACCGAAAGAACCAAGAAGACGTTTTTATTTATGAATTATTATTACGGGGGGACTCGTCTACTTACAAACGAGTTGGTTACCAGGAGGTCCTGTTGATTCCAAACATCCCCCCCCGCCCCCTCGGCTATATAATCCCTTGTTACAGCCACTTCTTTGGCATACTTCAGCGATTGTTTTCACTTTCGTGGTTCCCCACCTGATGAAGGACGCTTGTGTTGCTCCCGAAACGTCGTGATTTAATTTAGTTGTTTTCATTTTAATTTCTTTTGTTTTTTACCTACGTGACTTCACCAAAAAAAAAAAATATGATTCCAAACATGTTGTACGGCATGTACACTAAACACGGGGAATGGCTTTAAAAGTTGTATAATCTTCTGTAGATGCAGGCGTGCCACTGGTTCTTCATGGTTCTGGAGATGGAGATTCCACCACCGCCAGATTGTGCGGCGGTTGAACTTACGACTCTCGGTTCAAACAGGCCACTGGACATTTCGGACAGGTTTGTTCGAATCTCAGAAAGTTAGTAAGTCGAATGGTTGTGGAGTAGTCATAATTAGTTTTATATACATTAGTTTTTTTTAAGGAGAAACCCATCTCGGAGCGAATGTAAACGCGCGATAAAGCGACTCATCACTTCTCGAAGCTAAACATTTTAAGGGGTGGGAGGAGGATGCCTCCCCAGTGAGTGGTCCTCTGTGCAACACAAGGTGACAGCACTTGGACCATCAAGTGGGCATTAGTCTGCCAACACGGGGGCGAGGGGATTGCCACGTGTAACCCCAAGAGTCAAATTGATCAGCTCGAAGAAACGCAAAGTCACCTCGAAAGTTGCCGCGATAATCACGCTCCAGGATGCGATAAGATTTATCGATAATCGGCTCCTCATACTCTTGCAATTGTACTTGTTTTGCAATTCTTCCAGTATACGTAAATGATAACTCCCCTCCACCTACAGACTGCGGTTGAATTCTAACAAAATTGTATCAAGTCTCTTTGTAGGATTATCCCTTTGATGTACCACAAATCGATACTTATTTTAGCGGCCCTGGGCAAAATGGGGCGAGTTGCCCCCCCCCCCACTTCTGACATCGCAACATTTTAACAGTAACGAGTCTACTCGAAACGTCCTCTTCCCCTAGCGCTCACGCGGCCCCCCCCTACCCCCCCCCCTCTCTTCTCTCCCCCCTCTCACCAATATAACCTCTTGCCACGGCAGCTCTCCCGCCGGCGTCAACATTTTATTGCTGTGGTTGTCCCATCTGATGAAGTTCGCTTGTGTTGCGATCGAAACGTCGTGTTTCATTTTATTTCTAGCCACGTGACTTTACCGAAAGAACCAAAGAGCATTGGCTTGGTTCCCATCTCCGTATGTAAGCCCGAAAGCAGCAGTGGAAATGACATCTCATCCTTAAACCTGCGCTATCCTCCCCTCTTGTGGTGAACTCTTACACTGCACTGTTTTTAACCAATGCTACTGGGTTGCCCGATGCTAATGACAAACATTTGAGTTGCAATCAGCACTAACCATGAGCAATCAATACCTGGATACATGCATTCTCAAGCTTGGTGATTGGTTTAAAATTTTACTTTCATTCAGTTTATTATGTTAAGGAGCACCATGGTGGCGTGATCTCCCTCGTGCGGTATGAAGGTGGCCGTGGGGGCTCGATTCTGTACCGCCTCTGTTCCATCAAATGTGCCTCCCAAGTTTCGGCGAAGTTATCAGAAGAGAATGGCTAAGTAATACATTCTTGAATATATCTGTACGGAGCTCGAGTGGTACTACCACGTGCTGGATCATATAAAGGGTTTCCAGTTTCCTCCTCTATGCCACTTGTTCCATAATGGAACCGTCCAAAACATACCAATGCACATCCCCCTCAAAAAGTCTCGGCTTGGTGAGGTTTCCTCTGGTTAAATAATTTTGCATTGGCGTTAATTGCTACAGGCATACGCCATTATACTGCCATTTAGACATTGGACAATACATATCATCGTTCTTTTATAATAATAGCAGCTTGTATTGAGCCTTTCATAGAACCTCAAGGCGCCAAGTAATTTCACATCTCTTACTACAGTGGCGAGATGTTAACTACCTCGCCTGGCTTGCAGGTGGCCGTGGATTAGATCCAGACCTGAACGCCTGTATATCTGGAGTTTGCATGTTCGCCCCGTGGTCGCGTGGATTTTTTTCTCTGGGTCCTCCGGTTTTTCCCCTTCACATTTATAAATCAACATCACGCGTTAAGGAGTATTTGGCTGCTATAAATTCGCACGCGATAAGCCACTTTGTCGAGATAATATTTGTGGCAGGTCGCTTCTGAAAACAGCTCGGTGAGCCTTACCGGGTGAATAAAATATGTTATTTTCTACCTACACGACTCTACCGAAAGAACCAAAGAGTATGGATCCCTGCAGTCAAGAAAACTCCAAATCTAGTTTAGTTTTCGTTTATTTACTTTTAGCGATTTGCTTACCTTTCCTATATTTTACACTCCGATGTTGTTGTATTGTTTCTTGTTGTAACTTTGACCCGCCCCCACTGGACATCTGTGAAAACGTTACATCGCTTATCGGATTTCTCCAGGATCGATTTATTTGTCAGTCCTGTAACGTAACACTCCATCTAGCCCTTGCACACAAGATGCTATCGCTCAATACTCAATAGTGGATGACCTGTTACCTCCTCCAATTGTTACTCCATCGCTAGTCTTGGCCACCAGTCATCAAGCCTCATGAGCGCTGCGTACTTCCACTTATTTTTTACGAGAAGTCAATAGTATGATTTCTAACCCGTGTGTATATTCTCCAATGCATGCTTTCCTGTCTTTCAATGCAGACCATATCCTAACAGCTTCTTTGGAACCAAGCAAAGTCAAATCTGATTCCCAATGTGATTTGTCAAAAAACAAATGCCCTGGGAAGTACATTAACATTCAGCCACAAAGGTTACAAAATGAATAAAAATTTTCGATCAAGCCGAAACGCACAACGCACTTGTGCTTGTACCCAATCAATGTATTACACAAGAGCCTTTATTTTCTGGCTGTACGTAGCAATCCATTGCCAATCATTTAAGCTGCCGATCAGGCAAGATACTTCTAAACCCTGCACCCATCACTTACTGAACAGCAGGTGAGTCATGCTAAAACCTATGCCAAGAGCACATGAACGTCTCAGCTAACGAGAGGTTGCCAGTTTAACACGAAGGCTTTCGCGACTAATATCATCCATAGAGGTTTTTTGGGTTAGATCGCGTAACTATATAGTGTAGTTAAAACCCGCCACCACTCGACACAGCCAACTAGTAAGGGTTGTCACGTAGAACAGAACATGCCAATTCGTCACTAGTACACAGCAGAGCTGTTGCCAGCATGAATTATAACAGGGCAGCTTTGTTTAGCAGTGCAAATAGAAACTAAACAACCGTGCTTGCCAATTACATGAAAAATTAGAATAAGTTCGTGTAAAAAAAATGCATGAAAAGTCTTTCACCATAAAGTTCAGTGTACAACGTACAGATCCTGCTCACGTTTCAACATCACTGGGTGAGGACATTCAGGAGTAACTATGGGATGGTGGCCAATTGTACAGTTTTAAATGTTATTGGCTAGAAAATAGTAATTGCGCATAGAAACCATGCAGAAAAACAACAACCTGCCCATCAAAAGCCTACTTCCTGTACTATCTCCTGCAGGACACCGTTCCATTGCTTCATGATCAAATTCAATAGATTTCCAAGCCGTTAAATCCAAATGTTTGTGTTGCTCAAAAGCAGCAGATCCAGTGCTAATACATACACACGGTGCAAATACTGTTAAGCCATTTCTTACAAAGACAACCTACTGAGAGAGAGCCCAATTCCTAGACTCCCCTCGTATTATACTCAATTGCACGTTTAAATCGGGTTGAATGCATCAGAGGGATGGGTAAAAAAGCGATTTAAGTCTGTATGACTCGTCATCATCATTAACTCCAACACCGCGATTATTACGCTACCCCCTCTATTCATAATTATAGTTATCAATAGCATCACCGCGCTTATTTCATAGCGCGTCCAGGTGGGGCAACGCCCAGCTAAAATGATAGTATTTCTATTTTGACTGCAAATTGTGTCATAACATTGGGGGGGTGGGGGGGGAGACTCACGCTAATGAACAAACGCAAGCAAATATGAAACGCACATTTTTTAAAATTGGTTGCTGCAAGTTCAAAGTTTTGGACTTTGGTAATACTGAAACCAAAGTCCACGGGTACACAAGTAAAAATAACGTTCATTCAAGTGTGTTTATAAATACGGCATCCAATCCGAGTTTTTGCCGCCATATAGATATTGTAGCATTATAATTATCGAAGACAAAAAGGCCTTGGGGACTTCTAATTTACCAATGGTCATGCTTTATAACACAAAACAGGTTTCGCTCAAAACAAGCAAGGGACAGGGGCCCGTCTCTGCCGATGATAGCCTTGAGCCAAAAATGAACGGAATTTGCATCACCTCCGGCAGGATTTTAAACTCACTCCCATCTCCCAAGGGAATCCTTTCTATGCGCCAGAATCGTCGTCGTGACTGGGGAGAAAAACTGCGCCTGGGAAATTCTCTCTATCATGTTCATGGAGAAAATGTCACATTTCTAGCGTATCAAGCACGAACGGGAAACATCGGTCACATGTAAATTTAGTCCATCTATTTCTGCAGTTAAAAATTTTAAGATAACGATGTCGTACGTACGGCCTTGCATTACAAACGTCATAACCTCTGTGCGATTGTAAAGCTA